TGCAGAAGATTTTTATTTTGATGAGGTCCCAATAGTTCACTTTTATTTTTGTTTCCTTTGCCTCGAGACATGTTGAATAAGAAGTTGCTGCGGCCAAGATCAAAGAGGTTTTTGCCTGATTTCTCCTCGAGGATTTTGATGGCTTCCTGTCTTACATCTAGGTCTTTCGTCCATTTTGAGTCTATTTTTGTGTATGGTGTAAGGAAGTGGTTCAGGTTCATTCTTCTGCATGTCGCTGTCCAGTTTTCCCAGCACCATTTTCTGAAGAGACTGTCTTTATTCCATTGGATATTCTTTCCTGCTTTGTCAAAGATTCGTTGGCCATACGTTTGTCCATTTCTGGGTTCTCTATTCTGTTCTGTTGATCTGAGTGTCTGCTTTTGTGCCATAATTAACCATTTTAATGTTACTTCTGTGAATAACTATTTGTATTCTTAGACCATTATTTTTTCTCTTTTACTGTCTTTTCCATATTGGACTTTTAAAAAGTAGGCTTCACATCCAGTGTGGAGCCCAACGTGGGGCTTGAACTCACAACCCTGAGATCAAGACCTGAGTTGAGATCAAGACTCAGACGTTTAACTGACTAAGCCACTCAGGTCCCCCTCTTATCAATTTTTAGTAGCTTTTTATTTCTTTTCGGTATTAGCCCTTTGGAAATTTTATATACATTGCAAATATTTCCCTGGATCTGTCACTCATGTAGTGAAATTTTTTTGGTGTGTGTGTGTGTGTGTGTGTGTGTGTACACATGTGCATGTGCATGTGTGTGTATGTGTATTACACAGCTAGCCTCAACTAGTTTAGCCTTGTTTTGCATAGTCACATTGATTAATCTTTCATTTTATGTCTCTTAGATTTTATTCTTGCCTAAGTAGCCCTCCTTATTTCAAATTATGGAAAAACTCCTTTATATCTTCTCTAATGTTTCTGGTCTGCAAACTACTGGAAAGAATACCAAGTTTTTCAGCTGGCACATTATATCTGGAATTTTGGATTAGAGCACCCGTCTCCACAAATTGGACCTGATCCAACACTGTTTCATCTTCTTGGGCCTAGCATCATTACAATTCATTCCTAAATTAATCCCTAGATTTCTGCTGATATGTTACAAAATCTTGAAATTCTTTTCATGTGTAAGCTCGTTCCCAGACAAATTTCTTACTTTTCCCTTGAGACATACTGTAATATACTCTAGGCTTATCTGGGTACAACATGAGGAAGTAGGGGGTGTTGCCTTAGGAGTCCTATCATCCCCTTTTAAGGTAAGATGAGGTCGTGAAAAGTCTTCAAGCAAGGGAAAGTATGTTGTTTTTGTTTTTGTTTTCCAAAAAGGGAGAAAGGGGATGCTTCTTTTGGCCAAGAAGGTTCAGAGGTTTTGGGGGTTACAGATATTCAGATTCATTTGAATCTATAACTATAAGTGGTTATAGTTTCCATCTTATTTCTCAGGAGTCAACTCTTTCCCACCCATCCTGTAATTTATATTTAAGAGGCATGGCTAGGCTGTGAATTCAATCTAGGATGTAACTCTTAACCCACAGGCTCAAATTTTGAGTTTGCTTGTCCGTGGTATCAGCCTTGCCTCTACAAAACTCAAGAATGTCTTTTAGGGCCATTATAAGGAGCTCCCAATTTCTCTGACAATGCCTCAACTTGATATTTGAAAGCCTAAGGTTCTTATTTTCTTTTTGTAATTTCTCCAGTGGAGTCAGAATCAATCAACTCTACTCCAGAAACTCTGTGGTTATAGCTTCCACTGCAGTGATCAAATTCAACAGTCCCTTGACCCCCCAAAGTCTTGTTTTAAATAGGTACTTCATTTCAGGTAGTTGCAGCTTAAGTTTAAGGAACTGTTTTGCAACTGTCATAAGTAGATACTATCAGTATCCCACTTTTTTCTGACAACAGTGCCACCAATGCATTTAATCCCAAACATATCATTTAACAAATTGCAGATTTTCCTATCTGGGCATCTATGTCCTGGGTGTGGTCTACTCATGGTCCCAAGTAGAATATTAATTTGTGTTTAATCAGCAAAACAGAAACCGCTGCAGGTATTTCAAAGAGAAGGAATTTAATACAGGCACTCGTTTACAAAATTGTTGAACAAACGGGAGAAAGGTATGCTAGAGAGAGAAAAGGGTGTTGACGTAAGACCAGCAAACAGTGATTGCTTCTGGCTGGGGCCTGAGATCCTGTTCTTGCTGGAAGTCAGTGAGGCACTTCTGCTGCTGCTGCTGCTGCTGCTGCTGCTGCTGCTGTTGCTGTTAAAACTGCACCTGTGCCATTGAGAAGTGACCAGGAGCCTCATTCCTTTGGTTGAGGTCGCCAGCAGCTCTTACTGCAGCTGCCCAAGATTCCTTCATGGTACAGGGGAAAATGGCTTCTCTCTTGCTCTTATCTTCCTATCTGGCCAATGCTACCCATTGGGAGAGGCTTATAAGAAGCCAGGTGGCACAGGGCCAGGAACATGTCATGTGTTAGTGTCAACTCCTGATGTGACAGAGGAGAATTTAGAAGGACACGTGTGTGCTCTTTCTCAGGACAATACTGGGAGATGTGCTTCTTCAAAACGAGGGAGAAAACCAAGGATGAGGAAGACTTCGGATCTAGCAGACAGAGGTACACAAAACAGAGGCACTGGACATACTCAGGAGGTGGGGACAGGAGAGCTCAGGGCAACAGCTGTGCAGTAGGGCTCAATGGCAGCCAGGCTCACTGGACCAGGAGAACTCCAGGCTCCAGGTGGGAAGGCTCTCTGGAAAAAGGAGCTGTGTTTGAAAGCACTGAGATATTTATAGTTTTATCAAGGAGTTGGGGGGGGGGGAGGAAATTAATGGTGAATATATAGAAAACAGCAACAAAAACCAAGGCTCAACAGGAACAAAATGCTGTGAAAAGAGTGGAAGAGTGATCATAGCACCCTATGTGGCTCAGCTGTTAGTAATAGTTACACAGCCCAAATTAGGCAGATGTTAACTATTTATTGAATAAAAATGTGATAACACAGAGTTTGAAGAGAAAAATTGTGTGTTGGATTGAGGACAGAGATGAAGAGAGCTAAATCTTCATATTTTATACCAGAAAGTCAATAGGTAATGTAATGTTTATTTAAAAATTTTTTTTTGTTTTTATTTTATTTTTGAGAGAGTGAGAGAGCGAGAGAGAGCAGGGGAGGGGCAGAGAGAGAAAGGGAGACACAGAATCCGAAGCAGACTCCAGGTTCTGAGCTGTTAGCACAGAGCCCAATGCAGGGCTCAAACTCATGAACCACGAGATCATGACCTGAGCAGAAGTCAGATGCTTAACTGACTGAGCCACCCAGGCACCCCAGTAATGTAATACTTAAAGTTAAAAAGGCAAGACGTATCAATATAAAGCAGGTTATTTAGATATACATCAGGGGCCAGCAGGGGACCGACCAGCCAGGTCGCATCTCGCTGGGTCCGGTGTGAGTGCTCCTGAAAGCCCCTGGGCCAGCCTTGGGGCTGATGGCTCCTGGAGCCTGGAGCCTGTTCGGCCCTGTGCCTCCCCTCTCTGCCCCTCCCCCTGCCTGGTTTGCCCCCTCTCTCTCTGTCCCAAAAATAAATAAACGCTGAAAAAAAAAATTAGGTATATAAATATAAATCACAAGAGAAAGAAACAGCTGAAATAGTTGAAAATTATTCTGGAGGCATTGGTAGAGGTGGAATGGGGCAAGGAACTTTTTTTTGCATTATAGGTCTTGAAGTATTTAGCTTCTAAATATTAATTTATTATATGACCGTGGTAAAACTATTAATATAATTTTTTTAAACCACAAATTTAGAGAAATTTTTATCAGGGTGAGACATTACCACATCGGTTTAATAGGCCAAATTAAACACTGCTCCCTATCAAACTCTTCTCCAGATTTTTTTGTGGAAAGCACACGTTTGTATTCAACTCGTCTAAATGGAGCAGACTTACTGATTACTCATGTTGTATTTCTGATTCTTTATTTTAGTTTCCTTTAAACATCTAACCCAGATAATAATGTATTTTAAAATTTTGTCACCCATGTCACTTGAAAGGCCAATTTAAATTTCTTGGCATACATTCTGGACAACTTGATATTACTTTACATGTGTCATTTCTTTAAGAAAACGGGCTCTCTGCTCTACTTAATAGTTTTTCAGATCTTCTCTGTTCTGTTTCCCTGGCCCACGATTCTCCTATGTGTTTTGGTTTGATATCATTGTGGAGAAAAGAATAAAATACAATAAGATAAAGACAATTCCCAGCACACCAATAGCATTGTCCTAGGAATGCTGGGAATGGAGTGAGCTGGTGGGGCTTGGTAGGGTTTGGTCCCCTGGGTAGATTTTAATAAGTAGGACAACAAACTCTATTTGGCTATAGATTTAGGTTCGTAGGGTTCAAAACAAGGTAAGGTTGAATTATATGGGCATTGTGGTGGATGGAGAAATCTCTGGTCTGGACTTGTATCATCACAGCAAGGCCATAGCAAGAGTGGTCTCTCTTCTTAGTTTAGCGGATTGTCTACTTTCTTGACTTGGAGGTAAATCATCTTTTCTTTATTTTTTCTTGGTCTGCAGTAATAAAGAAAATGGAGAGGAGAAGTAATAAGGAAGCTATAAACCAAAATAAAGTGGGTAGTAAATGAATGGGACAAAAAATTGATGTCAGTTTTGTCCAGGATTAGTTTTGCAGTGTGTTCTGAGTGGTGATTCCTGAAAAGAAAATTGACAGAGCTTGGTGAACAACTGATGTGGTGGGGTGGTTCCAAAAATGCTCTTCTGGGACTGGCCTATGTTCCTTATTTTAGGTGTTCACTTTTCTATGTAATGGAGGATGTGGGTGATGACTTATTTAATCTTATATTGGTAAAAAATGATTATTGCAAAATCTAGACAGCTGTCATTTCTTGCAAATACAATTTTAGAAACTTTTTACCAAAGCTCATTTATTTTTCAACAGTTGCACAAGTGAAAAATCAACTAGAAATTTGTTCGAATTGCACATGTTCTCAGTCATCTTATCTTCATGAATACCAGGATGTTGCTGACACTCATTGTAGAGATGCTGGTTTCTTCGTTCTGCTGCTCCCAGACATGCCCTTCGATAGTAAGGCTGAGATCTGCAGTGGGGCGACCCCTGGGTCCCCCAGCTCCTTGCGGAATTTGCCCTGCTCGGGGATGCCTAGTCTTGCCTCAGCTTCTGGGCCAGTCTGAGACAGGGAGGGTAGCAGAAGCTCACCCGAATCCCCTGGCAGTGCTGGAGTTCTCTCAGACCCCAGGCGTTGGGGCCCAAGGAAATCAGCTGCACTCCCGGGGTCTCTGTGCCAACAACAGTAATGGCAAAAGCAGTGGCAGCAACAACAGAAACAACAGTACCGTCAGGAGCGGGAACACCAGCAACAACAACAGCAACACTAGCAACAGTGGCAACAACAGCAGTGACAACAGTGACAACGGCAACAACAGGAACAACAGCAACAGCAAAAGCAACAGCAGTAACAATAGCAACAGCAGCAATAGGAACCACCACGGTAGCAATAGGAACCACAGCAACAACAGCAACAACAGGAAGCACAGCAGCAACAACAGCAGCCGTGACAGCAGCATCAGTAGCAGCCGTGGCAACGACAGGAATGACAGCGGCAACAATGGCAGCAATAATAGTAACAATGGCAGCAATGGCAACAGTAGGAACGACAACAATAATAGGAGCCACAGCAGCAACAATAGTAACAACAGCAACAACAGCAGCAAGAGTAACTATGGCAACAGCAGTAATAATAACGGCAAGAACGGCAGGAACAGCAGCAACGATAGTAACAATGGCAACAACAGGAACCACAGCAGCAACAATAGTAACAACAACAAGAACAAGAACCGCAGCAGCAACAACAGTAACAGTAGTAACAATGGCAACGACAGCAGCCGTGACAGCAGCATCAGTAGTAGCAGCGGCAACAACAGGAACCACAGCAGCAATAATAGTAACAACAGCAACAACCACAGCGGCAACAATGGTGGCCACAACAATAATAGGAACCACAGCAACAACGATAGTAGCCGCAGGAACCACTGCAGCAACAGTAATAATGGCAACAGCAGCAGCGATGATAGTAACCATGGCAACAACAGGAACCACAGCAGCAACAATATTAACAGCAACAGCAACAACAACAATCATAGTAACAATGGCAACAACAGCAGCAGCAACAGTAGTAACAACAACAATAACAGGAACCACAGCAGCAACAGTAGTAACAATGGCAACGACAGCCATGACAGCAGCATCAGTAGTAGCAGCGGCAACAACAGGAACAACGGCAGCAACGATATTAACACCAACAGCAACAACAAGAGCAATAATGGTAACAACAGCAACAACAGCAGCAGCAAGAGTAACTATGGCAACAGCAGTAGTAATAATGGCAAGAACGGCAAGAAGGGCAACAACGATAGTAACAATGGCAATGACCACAGAAGCAACAATAGTAGCAACAACAACAATAGGAACCGCAGTGACAACAGCAGCAACAGGAACCACAGCAGCACCAACAGCAACAGTGGTAATAATGGCAACAATAGCAGCATTGACAGCAGCATCAATAGTAACAGTGGCAACAACAGGAACCACAGCAGCAACAATATTAACAACAGTGGCAGCAATAACAGTAACAATGACAGCAACCGCAGCAGCAGCAGTAGTGACAACAACAATAACAGGAACCACAGCAGCAACAAGAGCAACAACAATGAAAACCACAACATCAGCAATAGTGACAACGGCAACAACAGCAGCAGCAGCAAGAGTAACGATGGCAATGACAGTAGTAATAATGGCAAGAACAGCAACAGCAGCAGCAATGATAGTAACAACAGCGACAACCACAGCAGCAACAATAGTAGCAACAACAATAATAGGAACCACAGCAACAACAATAGTAACTGCAGGAACCACTGCAGTAGCTATAGTAACCACAGCAGCAACAGTAGCAACTGTAGCAACAATGGCAACAACAGCAGCCATGACAGCAGCATCAATAATAACAGTGGCAACAACAGGAACCACAGCCGCAACAATAGTAACAACAACAGGAACCACAGCCGCAACAATAGTAACAATGAAAACCTCAGCATCAGCAATATAAACAACAGCAACAACAGCAGTAAGAGTAACCACGGCAACAGCAACAGTAACAATGGCAAGAACAGCAACAACAGCAGCAATGACCGTAACAGTGGCAACAGCAGGAACCACAGCAGCAACAGCGGCAGCAACAATACTAACAACAACAATAGGAACCACAGCAGCAACAATAGTAACGAGAACAGCAACCATAGCAACAAGAGCCACAACAGTAACCATAGCAACAACAACAGCAATAGCAGTGACAACGGCAACAAAGACAACAACAGCAGCAGCAACAGCAGCCACAAGAGTGACCATGGCAACAACGACAGCAACAACGGTGACCACGGCAACAGCAGCAGGTACAGTGGCGGCGGCGGCACAGCTATGCCGACTGACTGGTGAGGAGCCCCAGCCCGCTCTGGACCCTCACTGCATTCTTCCGCTTGTGAGCCCGGCCATCTGGGACCTGGGTGCCAGGACTAGCCTGGCTTTGTCACTTACTGGCCTCATGGACGAATCCTTCCATCTGTCTTGCCTTCATTTTTTTCAGTTGTCCAATGGGGCTAATAATAATAATAATAATACCTGTTCCATAGGGTTGGTGCCAGGATTAAATGAGGCAACACACGGGAAGGGCTTGGAAAGTACTAGCTAAAAGCTCTGAGCAAACGTTAGCCGCTGTTACCCAATTTTACAGGAAAGGAAACAAGGGTCAGGGATGAAATAAGGTGTACGTTGGGAAATCCCTAGGGTCGTCTTTGTAACCAGGATGGGCTCAGGGCCCTCGGGAGCCCAGTGACTCGATGGGGGTGGAGGGAGTCCCGCCCTACCCTGTTTGTGCGCCTCTCCCGCAGGGTCTGGGACACCGGACCTGGGTCAGCTCTCCTGACGGAGGCAGCCTGCCTGCCCCCCAGGGCCAGCGTGGGGTGCCCCTACTCCCGGCCATCTACGCGTCCTGTGGGCTGCCCCTGCTTGTCTTTCCCCACAGGGGGGCCCTTTGCCCAGCCCTGCCTCGGCGTCCACGTCCTCACTCCCTTGTGCAGCCCTCAAGCCTCACACAGGTCTGCCTTCCTTCTTCGAAAGGTGAGCCGGAGGATGTAATATGGACAGCAGAAAGGCGCAAACCTTCGCAGACGTATTTGTGGGTCACGTGAAGAGAAGGCGTGTAAAGCCACAGCAGGAATGATCTCCGCAATCCCCCTTTAGCCTGACGAACCAGCCTGATGAAAACGAAAGCCTCCTGCGAGGGGATGTGGGTGTGTACGTCCCTGGGCTGAACTTCCCTGTCTCAACACCGTTCCGAATAGATTTTAAAATGTGATCCCCAGTCAGTGATCTAGGTACATATTTACCTATTTTATAGAAGAGCCATGAAAACTTCTGTGAACAATATCGGTGGTTACTGGGCATCCACAAAGGGCCCGCCTCTTTACATGCACGTATCTCGTCACAAAAATCCAATGAGTAGAAACTGCTGTCCCCATTTACAGATGAAGACACTGAGGCTTAGAAGAGTTAAGGCCACACGATAGGAAATGTCAAGACCTCGCCTATCAGACTCCACAGCCCCTGTCCTCCCCCACCACATATCCTTCCCACCTCTGGAGCTGGCTGGGAGAGCCTGGAGAAACCACAGTCGGAGATGCTCTAGAAGGAACTCAGCATGGGTCCCACAGCTATTTGGCGGGCACCCGCTCTGTGTGTGTGCCAGGCACCGTGCTAAGCTCTAGGGCTGTGGCAGTCAATGGGGCACGATCTGTCTTCAAGACGACAGACGTCTTCAAGGGGACAGTAGTGTGCATGGGAAGCTTCACTGAGACGGGGGTCCAGAGGGGACAGTTGGTCTAGATCAGGGACCTCGACTCAAATGTCTGCAGGTACCGGGCAGAAGATACACATGTAGTGGGCACAAGACAGTCGGGCCTGGTGGCACCGCGGCCTACACCAGCGGCCGTGCCCTTCAAAATGCCGAGCTGTCTCTCAGCTCCGACGGATCATCGACAAGAGGAAATGCCTGCTCCTCGTTACCAAATCCTCTGAATTTGTTTTCTTTAACAGATCCTGGGAATCCAGTTAATGTGGACTTTCCCACTTAAAAAATACCCACGTGGGCCAAGCAAAGCGCTTGAGACCCTAGTGTCCTGTTGGCTGCCAGTGTGTGACGTCTGCTGAATTCAAGGGCCTCTTTTAATGCTGGCCTTCAAGCTCGGGGGAAAGCCTCCGACCACGGCGATTTCTTCTGCAGCAACATCTGCATAAGTACTGAACGTGTTAAAAGGGAACATCGTGGAGAATGGGTAAAATTCTGTTTAGTCCTCGGCATCAGCGGGCCAAAACTGTACTACAAATAAAATGCGTAAGAACATCTAAGCACACTGCACAAACAAACCTGTGGGGAGTGTGTCCTATGTTTATCTTTATTAGATTTTCTTGTTTATTTTTTTTAAGTTTATTTATTTTTCTTGAGAGAGATAGAGAGCGAGTAGAGGAGGGGCAGAGAGAGAGAAGAGAGGGAGGCAGAAGCCCAAGCAGGCTCCGTGCTGTCGGCACAGAACCCGATGTGGGGCTTGAACTCACGAACCGTGAGATCGTGACCTGAGCCAAAATCAAGAGTCAGATGCTTAACCAACGGAGCCACCCAGGCGCCCCTCTTTATTAGATTTTCTTAATTTTACTTTTTGAATAGGTTCATATGGTTCAAAATTCAGAATGTACAAAAAGGTATGCATTGAAAATCCCTTCCTGGGGCTCCTGGGTGGCTCAGTTGGTTAAGTGCTCAATTCTTGATTTCAGCTCAGTCATAGTCGATGAAGTTGACCCGTCATTTGTGTTGACGTGTGAACTTACCTGCCCCTCCTCCCCTCTGGTTCCTCTTCTCTCTCTCTCTCTCTCTCAGAATGGGTACATAAAAACTTTAAAAAAAAAGAAAATCTCTCCCACCTATGTTCTCTGCCCACCAATTCCACAGATGGCCAATGTTACAGCTTTTCCATCTTCTTTCAGAGATACAGTAAATACACATATATATGTATATGTATATAGATATTTAACACGGATATGTATTTATTCATTCTTTTTTTAAAATGTGTATTTATTTTTGAAAGAGAGAGAGAGAGACAGAGCATGAGAGGGGGAGAGGCAGAGAGAGAGGGAGACACAGAATCTGAAGCAGGTTCCGGGTGCTGAGCTGTCAGCACAGACCCCGACGTGGGACTCGAACTCATGAACCGTGAGATCATGACCTGAGCCCACGTCGGACACTTAACCGACTGAGCCACCTGGGTGCCCCTATTTGTTCATTCTTTTTACAGAAATGGTAGAATATTTACTTTCTATATTTCCCTTTTTAAAATTAATACTATATCTGAGAGAACTTTCCTTATCAGTGCATGTAAAGCTGCCTCATTCTTTTTATTTTTATTTTTTTATTTAAAAAAAATTTTTAATCCTTATTTATTTTTGAGAGAGAGAGAGAAAGAGAAGCAGAGCTCCAGTGGGGGTGAAACGGAGAGAGAGGGAGACACAGAATCCGAAGCAGGCTCCAGGCTCTGAGGTGTCAGCACAGAGCCCGACGCGGGGCTTGAACTCACGAGCTGTGAGTTCATGACCTGAGCCGAAGTCAGACACCTAAACAACTGAGCCATCCAGGTGCCCCTGCCTCATTCTTTTTAATGGCTGCAGAGTATTTTATCGAATGACCTACCATAATTTATATAATCAGTGGGCATTTAGGCTGTTTCCAATCTTTTCTTACATAAAACGCGGTCTTAAATAGTAATCTTGTGCCCCCGTAATCTTGTACATATATGCTCCTAGAAGGGTGGAAATTTCCGGGTAAAAAGAAATGCACATTTTTGATACTATGGCCATCACAGAGAGTTCAGGTTTCTACTCCCACTGACAACACAGGGCGCCGTTTCCCCACGGTCCTTCCCAACATGATACGTTAACGAGCAGTTTAATCTTCGACAACCTCAGCTGTGAGTCGTGTGGTGTTCCTTTATACCTGTCTTACTATGGGAGATCTGAGCATATTTTCATACCTTTAAGAGCTGTTTTTCTTTTCTTTTCCCTGAACTACCTATTCAAGTCCTTAGCCCATTTTTTTTTTCCTTTTGGGTCGTTCCTCTAATGGATTTGCCAGAGCCCTTTATATAGTGGGAAAACCAGCCCCTTGTCGAGGAGTAAATATTTTCTCCACATTTGTTATTATTATTTTTTAGACAATGTTGGTTTTTCAATGCAGAATTCTTTATTCAGAAAGGCACACTTACTGATCTTCCTTTCAAAGGGATCTGGATTTTTTGCCCTACTTACACAGACCTTCCCCATTCTGAAAGTATCAGGTATCTCCTAGCGTGTGTTCATTATTTTACTGTTTCTTTGTGTTTTGTTTTGTTTTGCTTTGCTTTGTTTTGTTTTTACTCTTCAGTCTTTGATTTCGTGTGACTCGATCTCAACGTACGGCATGGGCTACAAATTCAATCTCCTCTTTTTTTTCCACCTGGCCTCAGAACTGGCCCAGACACGCACGCACAGAGGAATTTCAGCTCCTTCCTTACCTCTGCATGTTCTCGGCTTCATCTATAGTCTCAGGCAAAGCCTTCCCTTTGGTCTCTGGAAGCAGCAACACCAGTACCCCAGCAACCAAGCCAATCACAGCTGAAGGTCAAACAGATGCAAATCACATTAAGAACTAAAATGCGCAGGTTGGTTGTTTTAGCCTGACGTGGGGCTCGATCCCACGAACCGTGAGATCCTGACCTGAACTGAAATCAAGAGTCAGATGCTCAACCAACTAAACTCCTCAGGGGCCCCAAACATTCAAGTTTTATAATTAGAACTCCACTAATTTCTTCAAAAAAACGTTTGTGTGTGATTTTCTATAGTTACGGGTTTCTTTGCTCTCTCTGACTGTCCTATAAATATTTTGCTGATTCCAAACGCCGTTGGATTGCAATTCCTTATAGGGAGATGAAATACTTAACATTTTGAGTCAAGGTTATTCTAGGCTAGAGAACATTGCCATGATATTAAGATACATGGGAGTTAGAAAATAACTCTGAAAAAAAAATCAACTCCGAGGAAAGGAAGAACATAACCCTGCCAACATAAAGCACTTAGCAATGAAAATGAGTCAGAAACTTGGACCACTGTGAGCAAACAGAGGTAATGAATCATGTATTACTGTATCACAGTATGAAAAAGTATAGCCAGGCCTATGCTTTTAGTTTTAATTAGGGGGGTTGATAGAGTCTTTTGGTTGCTCCTTTTTCCCTTGTCTCCAGCTCTAATTTTTTGCACACGCTAAGGGGTAATCGTAAACATTAGGGTGTTTATGCTTCCTTAAATCCCCGCTAACATTTTGGGATTCTAAGGTCACATTTTATGCTTTGCTACGGTAGAATGCAGGAAGTAGGTGGGGGTTCTTCGCTGCTTTGGAGTTTCAAAAGAAGGGCACACTGGACTCCGTTTTGACATCTTTGCAAAATGGCAGGAGTAGAGGCCACCACGGTTCAGGATGCCGGCTGAAGCTCCGGGTCCCTGGGCTCCACTTCGGAGCCTCCACTCACTGGTCTCAGAGCCCTGGGAAATTCTCTTCTGAACCTCAGCCATGAAGTGAGGTGACATCTCCACATCACATGCTTGTTGTGTGACTCAAGTGGCTTCCTGTCTGTTAAGTGGCCGTGCCCGCCACAGCGTATGAACGAGGTAGCTCTCCCCTCGGAGTCTCACCAAACCACCAACGATTCACTTGGTTGTAACTCGTGCAAACAATAAACATATTCCGTGGGCTTTGATCCTCTGAAGTAAGTGAATTATGTAGAGAATATAATAGATGGCTCAAATTGTCATCCCTTTAGCATTTTATATTTGCAAAGATAGGCCTAATGAACCAGATTATTGCTTTTTTTTTTTTAAGTTTTTTATTTATTTTTGAGAGGGGGGAATGAGAGAGAGAGGGAGTGAGAGAAAATCCCAAGCAGGCTCTAAACTGCCAGCACAGAGCCCGGTGTGGGGATCGAACTCACAAACCATGAGCTCATGACCTGAGCTGAAATCAAGAGTTGTGTGCTTAACCGACTGAGCCACCCAGGCGCCCCTGAACCAG